CTAAAGTTGAAAAAGTGAAAAAGCATAATAGGACCCCTTTAAAAAATTTTCAGTGTTTAGTAAATATTTTTGAATTGTTGTTTTGTAATTGATTTTTTCTTTGAAAAGCATGAGAAAACAGTAAAAAGCTACATTTGGGTGTTTAATTTATGCAATGGTGAAAAACCGTGTTCGGTATTCGGCCTTCGGCCCAGTGTTTCATTTTGTTCGGCTTCGACCAAGAATTTATTTTGGTTCATTTCGGTGCATCCCTAATTTTCACTGAACTTGCACTAGAATGTAATGTTTTTGGTGTGTGAATGTTTTTGTTAGGTCTGAATGAGCAGTGGGTGTTAGACTTCCAGGTTTCTCCGGATGGAAAGTATCTTCTCCTCTCGGGATCCTCAGGATATCTCCATCTCATGACCACAAAGGTGCAGCACAGCGATCCCATTACATCTGCTCGTGATGTCTGTACTCACTCAGAAAATACATAGTCCAGCTGCAGCCATACATGTGGTGATTTCACTCTTAAGTGTTATTTATCTGGTGTTAAAGGGTTAGTACAATCACCCTCAAGACGTTTAATTGTCTTCGAAACACAAATTTAAATATTTTTAATATGCTCTCATCGATTTAGTCCATCATAAAGATGAAGTGAAAGTAATCCATGTGAATTTAACGGTTTCATCAAAGTCATATGAAGAAATTCAATTGCTTTTTATGATGAACAGATTTAATATAGTCCTTTATTCGCATAGAGCTAATCAAAAATGATAAACAGACACTAGATGATACTTGTGTGATATTTGAGATCAAACCTCTTCTGTTAGCAGCGCTTGTATTGGTGCACTGCTGTGAGAATGAAGTGTGGCGTGTCTCTTCCAGACCAGAGAGGTGATCCGGAGCATGAAGATGAATGGCAGTGTGTGCGCTGCCGCGTTCACCACAGACAGCAGCCAGATCTTTGCCAACTCCCGTAAGTCAAATCAAACACCGCTTCTCACGCTGTCATGCCACGTTAAAAGACTAGTTCATCCAAATGTATGGCTGTTGTTCCAAACCTTTGTGACATTGATAATAAGATTACTGTATTATTGCAGTGTTTGTCTGGTTCAGCTCATCATCATTGTGATCATAGTCTGGTCAGTCTGAAGGACTGGACTCCATAACAGCTTTCATTGGCCAAGGGCAACCAATCACAGTTTTGTTGAGCGTCACATTGAGGGACATGAAAATGTAAAGTTGATGTCCCTACAATAAAAGTCTGGCGTGCATCTTTTAAATGATTAGTTCAAGAATGTTGTGCAGGTTTACTGTTACAGTGGCACTGTGAGCTTTGAGCCTGATAAGCGATCATTGCACTCTCATTGAGTGTGTGTATAATCACACACAGCCTGTGTAAAACAGTAGGTGTTATTATGGTCATCATAATCGATCAGTTATTACATGCGGAGTCTATGCATTTTACAGCCCCAGCTGAATGAACATCAGTTTGCTTTCTCATGTCACTAGGTTTGAATCTGCAGCTTCATTGGCTAACAAATGCATTAATGTGACCAGATGGATATAAACTAATGCAAATAGATGGCATCAATGGTGACATTAAACATTTAGGACGGACTTGCGTGTGTTTTGGTCACATTGTTTTAACCGCTTGAGGTGCTGCTAATGTGCACGTCCTCTCAGTCTTGATAGCAAACTTACTGCTGTCCTTTCTCCACAAATGCAGCGTCTAGTCAACAAATGAATTACCAAGTAATGATATGAAAACATGCACTATAGTATACTATAGTTCGTTGTCGATGTATTAAATGCACATCTGAAGTGTTCAGCGCACAGAATCACGTGACTAAACTGCACACGATGTCAGTGATCTCCGTCTCTAGAGGCCGCTCTTGTGCTGTATAACAAAGACTGTAGGGAGTTTGCTGTATAATGAGAACCTTCTCAGCTTCTCCAGCAACGGTCCCAACCTGGAAAAACTATCGGCATGGATTTTTGCTGATAACCAATAGTTCCGCCAATCAACTATCGGTGCCGATTAATTGGCAAAACCGATGCGTCAGTCATTTACTTCACCCCAGAAATAGCAAGAGCAGTCTCAGTCTCTTAGGACAGTTGGTCTGCGGTCACACAAAGAAATTTCATGTTTGGACAGACTGGGACCGGACCCTCTGAATCCCCACTGCCGTACACACTGTGTGATAAACACTGATGCCTGTGTGTGTGTGTGTGTGTCACAGAGGAAGGAGAGGTGTTCATCTGGGACGTGCAGAGCAGTAAGTGTCTGAAGAAGTTTCCAGATGACGGCTGTGTCAGAGGAACTTCTCTTGCTCTGTCCAGGGATGGCCTGTATCTGGCCTGTGGGTGAGTAACGTCAGAACGCCGTTTGTCTGTCACTTACTGAACGCAGAAGCTGATATCAGTGTCCCATCCTGCATTAAACATCAGCATTTATTAAGTCACCAAAACCTGTAGCCTACTCGGGTGAAAGTGCAAATATTTACTGTAGTAATTACTGAAGTTGAGGTAACGGTGTTAATAATGACCTGAGTCACTTTTCATTGGACTCTTCTTTACTCTTACTCAAGTAGTCAAGAATTACTAGCGACTGATTCAGAACAAGCAAGATAAAGTCCGTGAAGAAATATCTGGTTCTGTTGATGCTTTTTGTCAATCTGTGTGTGCATAAACTCAATGAAAGCAGCACATAAATATGATTTCAAATACAGAGTGTTTCTGGTCGTTACATATGTTTGTTAAAATATATTATGACAGTTATTACGTCTAATGTGGTCAAAATTCATAATGTGTGTGCTTTGCCTGTGTTGGTCATAGGCTTGAGTTTTATAAAGGTAACATGTATACAACACTATATATCCTGCACATGCTTAGTGAAATGGAGCTAGAAAAATCACCCATGAATCATTTTGAGTTGAATTGATGAATCTGAAGTTGTTGTGCCATATTTTGTATATTGGTGCTTTTAAACAGCAGATGCACTATTTGTTTTTTTAAATAATTTTTCTTCTAAAGAACAAAACTGTTGTTAAAAAATACTTATTTGCAAAATAACCCGCAAAAACCACTCATTTCAACTGTAGATTGTTAACATCTGTGATGAAGAACTGTTGCTACCTGGAGTAATTTTTGTTCCCGCTAGAGCTTTGGTCCGGATGGTTTTGTGTTAGTTGTTAGGTGTAATGCACAGGTGCGTGTCTGGATCCTGAGGAACGGTGTTGTGCTGCTCGTCTGCAGGTCTCAGAGCGGTGTGGTGAACATCTACTCGCAGCAGGACTGCCTGCAGAAGCTGGAGCCCAGACCTCTGAAGGCCATCATGAACCTGGTGACAGCGGCGAGCTCCCTGTGCTTCAACAGCACCTCAGAGATCCTGGCCATCGGATCCAGAGCGGACGACGAGGCCAACCGACTGGTGCGTCACAGTGCCTTGCATATGAGGAACTCTAATTCAGCTGTGTGCATATGAAAACTAATCATCATATAAACAATACAAGCGATTTGTATATAAGGTTATTTGGATTATATTTCAAAGTTTTTAATAATGCTGAAGTTATATACTATTATATGCGATTTTTCTTTATAATATGTGGATAATTGTCACATTTTCTAAATTGAAGAGAAAACATGCCTGGAAAAACTGGTGTATGGAAGTTTCTCATCAGCACTGTGTGAATAATAATAAATGACTGAATAAATAGTGTAGACACTGCGCTCTTTTTTTAGGAACGCTATACTAATTCTTGTTCTGTGCCTTTAATAAAAACAGCCTAAATTCTTCAAGTTAATGAATAGGATTATTCAGATTCATAGTGTTTCTGATTATTATAAAATTCAAACGAATATACATGCTGTGGTCATTAATGGGTGCAGATGTTCAGAAACAATACTGTGGCGTTCCAGTGATGATTGATGGGTATGAACAGACCTAAAGAAAGCATTGCTCTCACCATTACACCAGCAGCAGTCTGGACTCCTGACACCAGTGCATGGATTCATGTGCTGTTTGTGCAAATTATGAGCAACGCTCAGCATTACTGACATCACATGAACTGAAGCTCCAGACCCATGTCTGTATAATCAAGTATTGCACTGCTGAAGCATGATTGGCAGATCTGATAATTGCACAAGTATCCGTACAGCTGCTCCTAATAAATTGCTCAGCAGTGTGTGTATATATATATATATATATATATATGTATGTATAAATAGACTAACTTCATATTGTAATGAATTGTAGATGACTGAAAGAGTGCATATTTTCTGTGTTCATAAGCTGCGGAATTGGATTTCAGATGCAGTTATTGGTGTAATCTGGCTTGTTTTTTGGGATTTTTAGTTGCTGAATAATTTGGGTAACTTTTTATTTTTTTCCTTTTAAGGTCCATCTTCCAAGTTTTACGGTGTTCTCCAATTTTCCACAGTTCCAAAAGAAGACTATATTTCAAACCTGTTGTCTGGATTTCTCCCCGCGGAGCGGATTCTACTCTGTGGCCAATAATAAAGGCCATGCGCTGCTCTTCAGGTGAGAACAGACAACACCAATATGTTGCTGTCATGCCAATTACATTCGTTTCCTTTTGTTTTTGCTGCATGTGCAATGTTAATTTATGTTTCACAGGTTTAGCATTTAGACACTACTTTTCCAGATTAAGAACATTTAATAAACGTTTATTCTGTGTATTTTAAAATGCGTTTATAGGTCTCTTTAAATGTAATGTAATTAGGTTCATACATTTTAGGAAAGAAAAAGACAAACTATTTTAGATTGTCCAGTGCACTAAATGTAACTGGAAAGGAAAAGCATACCCTAAATGAACACACAGGTGCAGAAAAAGCTGTGTTTGGGCTTCTCAGGTGAGCAGAGATGGGAAGTCTGCTTTAGAAATCCATTGCTGTGTCAGTTCACATCGGGCATTAACCACTGCTCTCCAGGATACCAGACACCGTTCAGTTTCTTGAATGAATTACTTTAAATGAATAGATCTAGAAAACAAGTGAATTGTTACACCTCTTTTACACTGATGGTTTTGCTATGCTAGTGTTATCCAGGTGTTGTATAAGCATGTGTATTGTTGTTTGTCTCTAGGCTTCTGCATTACTCTGACTTCTAGAGATGAAGCACCGCGTTCCACAAAGCAAACGGCTCAGACTGAATACATGTTTTACTTCTGTCAGCTCCTAGGAGTTCAGCTCAATAAACCTTTGCCACATGACTGAGAACCATTATGCTGTTGTACAAGTGTGCATTATTTACAGTTTGCTCATCCTAATACAGTCTGTCTTTGACGCTTGTCCTTGTCTTCAGACCTGCAGTACAGCTCTTAAAATGACTGATTTTTATTCAGTTTAATGGAACAAAACTTCACATATATTCTTCCAGAGCAGCTTTACCAAGAGCGGCCATATAAATGCTGCAGTTAGCAACAGTGGCGAGAAGAGCTCACTTAGATGTTAAAGAAGGATAAACATTCGGAAGTATAGATGCGTCTGAAACTGAAAACCTTACTGGGAAAGGCATGGAAAATGACCTTAAAAAGAATAATGAATTCTACCGAATAATATAAGACCCATTCAGCAGACACAGTCTGGTTTGCTGATAACAGGTGAACTAGAGGATAGCAGGACGTTATACAATCACCTGTAAAACTGCAGCACAATAATGAGTGTGTTAAGTGAATAACTCTATGGGGGAAACGAGTGGCATAACCGTCTCGGAAATCAGAGCTTGCCAAGAGAAAGCTTACTGAATCCATTCACATTTTCTGTTATTTGATATATACAGTGCATCCGGAAAGTATGCACAGCACTTCACTTTTTCCACATTTTATAATACAGCCTTATTCCAAAAGTGGTTAAATTCATTATTTTCCTCAAAATTCTACAAACAATACCCCATAATGACAACGTGAAAGAAGTTTGTTTGAAATCTTTGCAAATTTATTAAAAATAAAAAATTCACATGTACATAAGTATTCACAGCCTTTGCTCAATACTTTGTTGAAGCACCTTTGGCACCAATTACAGCCTCATATCTTTTGGGTATGATGCGACAAGCTTTGATCATCATCATTTGGCAATTATCTGCCATTCTTCTCCTCTTCACCTCTCAAGCTCCGTCAGGTTGGATGGGAGCAGATGCACATTTTCAGGTTTCTCCAGAAATATTTGATTGGGTTCAAGCCCAGGCTGTGGCCACTCTTGCTGTGTGCAGTCTAATAAAAAGTTTAATGTAGACTGGAAGATTGGATGAGTATAAGACTGAAAATGAATCATGGTCAGTGTATACTGAGCAAGTGGAATTGTACATCATGGCCAATGACGTGGACGATACAAAACAAGTGACAACTTTTCTTAGTGAGACGGGAGCAGCAACATATGGATTGTTGCAGAATTTGGTAAGCCTAAAGATGAAACGTTTGAACAGATTGTAAATATTCTGTGCAAGCTTTGGTAATTTCCAACTGTTTTCGATTCGGGTCGGCCTACACTGTATGAGTTTCTGTCTTATGTTAAACATAAAAGAAGGTATTCTGAAGAATGCTGGTATTCAAACAGTTGTTGGTTCCCATTGGCTTCCATAGT